TGTGTCTCCCTCCGAGCCGGCATCTCCACCCCTGGGAGGGGCCTCTGATTGCTCGCACCTGTGGGTGATTAAGCCGGGGACTCATAAGGCCAGCGCACTCAACCTCTCCTCGCCAGATTCTCAGCGAAGCCGTCCACGCATCAAGTTGCTGGACGCAAATCTCTGCCATTCACCTGCCTGCCTCAACGCCAGGAATTTCGGACCACTAACCCCTCCACGCCACTACAGACCACCCGCGCTAAGTAAGCAGTACTCAGGAAGATTGAGAACAGCTCGCCCATATTCCTCCCGAACCTGAACGTCTATATTCAGTGACTCTGACCCTTTCCCCGAGCCCAGCTTGACTCTCCCTCCAGCCCAATCCTCGGAGCAGCTGTTCCACTGACGAATGACCAGATTGCTCACTTAGCTCAGGCTGCAGAAACCTCTTGGGTTTAGTTGTTGTATTGAGCATTTGTGAAACTCACATTCCAGTTGTGAACACTTGTGGTGAAAATAAAAGTTGTCACTGAAACTACTTACGTGCTGTTCTTCACGCAGCAATCGAGTCCTTTTCCTTTTGCGACGGCCTCGGACGTGACAGTGCGTACCTGATGTGCGCCCTCAGGTCACCCCACAAAGCCTTGTGCAAGAAAGACGGGAGGAATGTCAACTCCCTCAGAAAAGACATTATGACACATCCGCCTGACACTGTGGACTGGAGCACCAATACGCTACCAGCAAGAAGATGGGACATGGCAGCCAGCTACTATCTTTAAACCGGCAGAGACTCCACGCAGCTATCTCATCAAAACAGGTGATGGTCAACTCCTGACGTGCAATCACCGACACCTCGCCACGCACTCCCACACAAACATTTGTGACGACACCCAAACCCCTCAAGACATTGTTCCAGAGACCAGGTCTCCTCACCACACTCCAAACAATGACTGAACCTGCCCTCGCACCAGATTCGGCCGTGCCATCAAGCCGAGGCAGGTTCTTGATTTGTACCCCAACAAAAACAAAAAAGGGTTGATGTAAAGTCAAAGCTTGAGAAGTGTTGAAATGGAAAAAAAGATGGAAAAAAATGTTTGAAATATTTACACAGCAGCATAGCATATGGCAACCTAGAAGCATATTTTTTACATCTTGTTATTATAGTCTCACTACCAG